AACTGCTGGCTGTACCAGAAAAACCTGAAATCCTCCCATAACCTTCTAAAGTACATCATGGAATTAAGGCCCCTCTACACATCCAGAGTTAAGTCATGTAAATACCAAACTTCTTTGGAGCCCGAGATAAGGCGGCCTCGCCCCTGCGGTGCCCAGATACCTCAGCGAGCTGATGTGATTACACACTCTCACCCTCCAAATTGGTTATCACACCATTAAAATGCCTTCCCAGGTCACTGCTCTGAGGGTTAAGCCTGAATTAGTATCCTGAAGCTCCCTGATCGTTATGTAAGTGCCAGCAATCCAAACAAATCAGAGTTAGCTTCCCTGGCCACTACAGGAATCCCTATCCAATGCTGAATTACAAATCGTTCAGCAGTTCATTCACTATTTTCTTCACCAAGTCCTCACCAACTGCATTACCAGCTCACAGCAAACCACCTCTGTTCCACTACTGGATTTTCTGGATCTCAGTTTCTTCCCCCCACCATGATGAGACCACAGAAACTGGTGGAAAACCCCTGAGTAGAAATCCCAGTATCTGGTCTACAACTGGAGACTGAAATGTTTAAAGCAAGCCATGAGGGGCAAATCACTTTTCCTCATCACATCAAGGGACTCCCTCCAATTCACCTAATCCCCCCTGTTTTCCTGCCAAGGAGAGTTTTAGGGTTTGTGCCCACATCTCAGCACTCACCAGTCTCAGCTGTCCAAACACACAAAGCCAGGACTGCAAAAGCTGTGCAGGGTCCACGCTATCCAAGGTACTCAGTACTCAGGCTTGGGTTATTTTTGCAGGAAAACAACTTGAGGTCCACAGGGGTGCAGACTTCTGGATGTTGTAGGTCCTCAAATCTGTCTGAGCAATATTTTCTGGAGGCTGTTTAAAGCCAGGGAAAAAAAAAATCTGATTTGGAGTTCGCAGCCACTACCTAGGTCAGAGAAGCCAAAATCAGCCCGTGCTGCTGTTGGGAGACCGAGACTCTGCCGTGGGTGCCCCTGCTCCTATCAGCACTCCTTCCTCAGCCAGGTGTGTGCTTTGTCCCTGCCCTCGGTGGCACCCTGGGCACACTCAGGGCGCTGGCATGTGCGTCCCTGCCCGGCGCCAGGGCTGAGGCCGCCGGGACAATGATCCCAGGAAAATAATCCCGGGATAATGACCCCAGGACAATGACCCTGGCACTGCCAGGCCCCCACCCTGCACCGACCCAGCCACCAAACCCAAGGGTGCTGCTCCTCCTCTCACCAGCCCTGGCACAGGGACAAGCAGAGGGAGAAAGGCACTGCTTTCCCTCCAGGATGGCCTCTCCCTGCAAAGCCAGCACCTCCTCAGGTGCAGCCAAGCTCCCCAGGGCAGGTTTTAGCCCTCTGCCAACTGGACTTCTTCCCTGCACCCAGATTTGCCCAAGAACTCCACTTGCCTGAGCAACCTCTTATTTCTTCTCTCCTCTGCAGCCTGACCCTGTGTCACACGCTCAGGAAGAGCTGCAGGAAGGGGAAGCAGCTCTGTCTCCAGATCCTGCCATCCCTCTGGAGGTCCCCTGCACCTCCCCCTCCCTCCTTCAAAATGAAAGATACCTTTTTCCAACTGGTTTCTAAATACTCCAGTGGGATTTGCTGAAGCTTTTTGCTGTTAGCATCTAAGAAATATTAGTTCAGTTAAAAGGAAAAATTGAAACCACCATCCAGTCACACCAGCAAACCCTCTTTCCTATGGAAAATGCACAAGCCTGACTTCAGGAGCTCTATTGACTTGGCATCATGCTGATTAGAATTCTCTGTAGGGACAGGATCTGGGCCAGCACCAGGCTAGATTTTTTTCTTCTTACACCAAGAACATCCAAATATCATCCGTTACTTTGTTAATTTAAATTTTCCTAGGACTCTTGGCATGGACACCACAATTAGAGAAGCCACATTCCCTTTCAGTTCGTGGGTGAGCTCAGACAGACTCTGCCCCAGTACAATCTTGTGGCACTTGGATTTCCTCCAACACCCAGGAAATAAAGTTATAAATAAAAAGTGGTTTATTTACTCCCTCCTCTCTCCCCCATTAGTTATTCCATTTCCATTCACACTGAAAACTACAGAACATTTTTGTTTATAAGATGCTTTTGGGCTCAAAATTAAATTTAGGCATGTTTTACCAATTTGGGGAGATAAACAGAAATATTAATTGCATCACACCCTACGTCAGCCAGTTTTAAAATTAAATGAGAAGGCATCTTCACCATTTAGAGAAATCGGCTGTTAAGAAAACCATGGGTTGCTTTTTCCTTCTAAGAAAGTAGAAATAAAGCAAAGCAACACATGGATGCCTGTTTCTAGCCTCTCCTCTTATTTAAGTCTCTAACAAGAGGAAGCCTAAAAGAAAAACACCTTAAAAGAAGAAATGTTTCTCGAGGGATCCTGCTTGTCCTGGAACAGGACATTATGGTGAATATGCATGAAAGGCATGAGTCAAACTGTACTCAGGAGCAAGCATCAGCTTTCACTTGCCATTTTCCAAAGCCTTCCACTCAGGCTGCCAAGACAGCAACTGAATGACAAGAGTTTTATTTGAATGCAGAGCGAAGATAAATGCTCCTTAGGACTAACTGGGGGAACCTTCTTTAAATTAGCTCACTTGAAGGATGTGCTGCTTCTCTCTTTGGCCAGCTCACAGAAGCAGTAACAAAAAAGAGAGTAATTAATTAAATTCGAAACCTTTTAGCCCTATTGTCAGTTTTAAGTTTTGATAATTTCTATTAGGGGGGAAAAAAAAAATCAGGACAAGGTCTTTCCAAACTGGTTGCTGTCAAGTAAAATGAGAAGTTAGATAAAACTCCCACATGCCAGATGGTAAATCACAATAAATGCTCAGGCTGTTAGATGCACAACAAGCGACAAAGCATTGACACACACCATCAGCAGCAAACCCAAAATAGAAAAGATATTTTAATAAGAAGTTGTCATTTGGGGAAAAGATCCTCATGAAGCTCATCAGAATCAAAAGTCATACACTGAGGGCTTCTTATTTTCTTCATCACCTCACATAAGCCTGAGAACAGCCAACAATTTCAGGTGACTTACATTAGGCTCCGGGCTATAGTCAGCAACAGCCTTGGAGTTCACTATTTAGGCACCACTTCTGACCCTTTCTGCCAAGTTCTAAAAAGAATTTTGCTAAAAGATACCAGGGAATTGTTTACTCAAACCATTATTGTTTCCCGAACACACATGCAAGAAAAAGTTTTATTAAGAAGATAAAGAGCTGCTACTGTACACGGTTTAGATGGCAACAAAAGCATCTAAGGGCCATAAAGGGAATAGTAAGGGAATTAAAAAGCATTTTTATGCATGAAGATGGCTAACATCTGTACGTTCATTAAAGTGGTATCAACTATGCTTTTAATTAAAAGTTAGTGACAGAAACTTAAATATGATTAATGAAGCCCAGCAGCCTACCAGAAGTCTGCTCCATCAAAAGCAGCACGAGCTGCGTTCCCAGCCCCGGCTGCTCATTTCTTCCCCTCTCAGAGATGCTGCCACAACCAGAACACACTGCAAGGACCACAAAGCAGAAATCCTGATACAAACAACAAGCCAAGACAAGGCTGCAACAATGCTTTCATGCCTGGCCATTCTTTATTCTGTATATCCCAAGGAGACGTTTCAATTACCGAGCAGCCCGCGGCCACAACAAGGAGCTGGTTACCTGTCATAATAACCAGGCACTCAGAAATCCATCGGAGGCACGAGGTCTGCCACAGGAGAAGAGGGAAAGGGCTGCCCTACAAGCAGCAGTCTCCTGTTCAACAGTGGGTGGGGGGAAAACCCCTCACCCAGAAGCCAGTGCTGAACTCTGTAAGGCAGTCAGTCGTCTTGTGTTACCCGGAGCACAACGCAGTCATGACAAAAATAAACCCGGCGATAAAAATACAGCACGAGCAAAAAGATGTGGGCATGGAACAGGAATCGGTGCCATCGGGGGAGAAGGAGTCCTACAGCCACTGATATTTTCACATGCACTCAAACATCCGCCTATTCAAGTCCTGATGTCCACAAAGACAGATCTATTGTCACTTTCCTGTTCAGAGCTGAGCACTCACAGATTCTGTCTTCAAAGACTGAAGACGCTTCCTGACATCAAATTTCCACTTAGCAGCTTCCAGACACACAGAGCACGAAGAAGATGGAAGCTCTCACTTTAGAGCAGGTACCAACACATGAAGAAACTTTTTTTTTTTTTGCTTAAATACACAGTTTAAATAAACTTCACCTCAGTCGTGGCATTTAAAAGTGAAATGTGACAGGACTGGCTTGTGTAGCTGACTGAGCAGGGCGCTCCTCTGAGGGGCTCCCTGAATGACGCTCCCAGCCCCAGGCTGAGCACCTCAGTGCACTCTGTGCTTCTGCTTCTTCCGTGGAGCAGGAGAGGCTGGGGAGGACGTGAAGGAAGGGATTTAATCCTCCCACAGCTGGGCAAAAAGCTGGAGCTGTTCACGCTGTAGCCATGGAGCAGCTTCACGCTCCAGGATGGAGCCCGGGGTTGTTCGGGAGCACAAGGCAGGACCCCTTCTGTCAAGGGGTGGGGAGGCCAGGAGAAAGGACTGCCGGGCCCAGCAAAAAGAATCCCCTATTACAGTCCATCATCCAGCTAAGGAATGGGCATTCCGCTCTTCCCAAAGGGAAGAATCTCTTCCTCCCACTTCCACAAAGAAAAGCACCGCCTGAGGAGCACGGCCAGCAGTGCCCTAACACAGGGGGGCCTGGAGCCCTGAAATATCACGGGGCTGTCCCTCAGCTGTAATCAGTCACCGGCATTTATTCTTTTTATTCTCTGAGGCTGCTGCGGATCTCGCCCTCTTCTCCCACAGGGATGGGAGGCACCCCCGGCAGCCCCTTCACACCCTCCCCAGGGCCAGGCCCCGTCCGAGGGGCTCCTAGGCCACCGCACGGCAAAACCTCCACCGGGGGCCCCTGCCAGAGCCGAATTCGGTGAAATTCAAGGCTCGGAGATGCGGTACCGGAGGAAGGGGGCCAGGACGGAGCTGTCCCGGGGGCTGGCCCCGGCCCGAGCCACCACCGCCCCGAACGCTCCGGGTGCTCGGTCTGTCCCCGGTGCCCCCGCGGGCACGGAGCGGTGTCTGCCGCCCGCGACCTGCGGGCACAGGGGGAGCCGGGCACCGGCTGTGCCACACGCCGCACCTCGGCAGCGCGGGGCTGCGGTCCCGCGTCCCCGGCGTGCGGTGCCGGGCGCTGCCATGGCCGCGGGGGCCTCCCGGTCACCGACTGCTCCATCGGGAAACTTTTACCGCCGCATCCCGGGGGAGGACGGACAGCCCGGCCCCGCTCAGGCCGCGGCACCCTCCAGGTGCCGGCCGGGATCCGCCGCGGCCCGCGGGGGCCGTTCCGCGGTCCCGGGAGGGGCCCCCGTGCTGCACCGGCCCCTCCGCGGAGCCGCAGCCGCCCCGCGGGCCCGGCCAGCCCAGCTCAGCTCCCCTCGGTCCCGCCGCGGTTCCCGCCCCCGCCGAGGCACTGCCGGGCCGGCCCGGGGGCCGCCAGGTGTTGGTGCCCGCCCCGCCGCCCCCCGCCCGCCCTCAGCGCCCCCCGCCACGCACCGGCTGCTCCCGGCGCGGCGGCCGCGGCTCCCGCTGCTGCTGCTGCCGATGCCGCCGCGGCTCGGCGGCTGCCGTTGCCTACGGGTCGCTGCCTGCCGGCATGCCCGCGCACCGCTGGCATAATCCCCGGCGCGGGCGGGCCGGGCGCGGGCAGCTCCTCGCCTGCCGGCGCTGCCGCGGCGCGGGGACGGCGGAGGCGGGGGGGAGGCGAGGCGGGCAGGCCGCCGCGGCTGCGGGGGAGGAGGAGCGGGGAAGACGAAGAGCCCCGCGCCGGCACTGCCCCTGCCCTGCCGTGGCACGGCGGGCCGCGCGGATTTATCCGCCCGCCGAGCGAGCCGAGCCCCGCGCACCGGCAGCACCGGGAGCCGCCACTTCCTTCCCCGCGCCGCTCCGCGCTCCCTCAGCCCTGAGGGCGGGGTGAGGGCGCCGCCTAGCGGCCGCGGTGAGGCGCGCGGGGCAGCGGGACCGCCCCGCCGTGAGGGGAAGAAAGAGCGGGGAAAGAACGGGAAAAGAAAGAAAGAACGGGGAAAGAACGGGTGGTGCGGGGATCCCCGGGCTCCTACCGCCTTCCTCCGCTCGCCGCCCCGCGCCGGGCTCGCTCGCTGCCGGTAGCAGTGGCCGCAGCGAGGGTAACGGGGCTTACCGAGCCCCAGCCCGCGCTGTGCCCTCACCTGCCCTCAGGGCAGCGCGGGGGACTCCTCGATCTTTACTCTCGGCAAAGCTTACTGGGGAAAAATAAAAATCTCAAAAAGTTCAGCGATTGTTTTATGCAGAAACCTCAGGAAAAGACCCTGCGATGAAATTTACCGTGGCCTTTTAAACCTTCGTTAATTTCCTGCGGTTGTTTTTCATTCAGGATGCATCATCCCAGCCCTTTTTCCCTCTCTGCAAAGGCAAAGTACTCTCAGTTTGTTTTGCAACTGCTTCCTGCATTTCCACACTAAGTTGTCATCCACGTTTCAGCTTTGTGCAAGGCAGATTATGCCTAAACCTATCAAAGATACAACTTTTAAAATTTGCTTTCTAGAGATGTGAACAGAAATTTTATTTTCCAAAGTTTAAATCTCAGAGCTGGAGGAGCTGAAATGTTTATTGTCATAGAGAAAACCATGCATGGGAGTGTCTTGCAAGGGCAAACTGAGGCAGACGAGAGCCTGAGGCTCCAGGCTTTCCTTGTAGATCTGGAAAGGCGATAAATGCCAACATAGCTGGGAGGTGTCAGGTGAGAACACAAGAGGAAGATGACTGAAGTCCTCCACAGAGGAAGAAAAAGCCTCTCTGGTTATCTAGAAATCCTTATGCGTCCTCAAAGAGAGAACAAGGCAATTTTCTCACGTTAAGGGGAAGTTGAAAGGGGATTATAAGCAAAAGGACAATGTCCAGCAAAGGGCAGGGCCAGCACACAGTGAACGCTCCCTGTGTCCCAGTTTTTGGCGCTTCAGGTCTGATTTTCAGGAGCACTGAGCATTCAGGCCTCCCACCGATTTAATCTGGAACTGCAGAGCCTCTGCCCCTCTGATGAATCAGGCCAAAGGCACCACACTGAACAGGTCACACAGATATTTGAGAAGGCTGGCCTAGAAGTTTACTAAAAGCAATACTTTTTTCCCCCTTCAATGTTATAATAGAACAGAAATAGCTTAAAGAGCTCCAACAGATGGAGGAGAACTTTTGATTAAAAAATAAATTCTGACTCACAATTCAGTTTTCTGGATGTAATAAAAAAGAGTCCATGAATATGAATAGTGCTGGAGAGAATGAAGTGGAGATGAAGGGAGGTTACAAGGAGAGGCAGTGAAAGAGCTGAGCTGATTTACCTACTTGCCTCTAATGTCTGTCAGAAAAATTCTTTGGTTTTGCTGTAGCACTGATGAAAGAAAACAAGACCATTACTGGACTCATGAATTTTTCCTGTGATGGATTCCTTGGAAAAAATCCTGCTGGCTGACTGATATTTCTGAAGAATGCTTTAAAATTGCACCTGTTAATAACAAAATAGTGGGAAAACTGCAGCTGAATAGAGCTAAGCAGGGAAGTAAAGATGCTTCCCCCACCTCCCCCCTCCATGTCTTCCACGTAAAAATTACCAGTGAGAACATGGAATGCCAGCAGAATTGTACATCTCTTTGTGGAGACTGGAAATACATTGGAGCACGTCCTCTCCAAGAATTCAGACCAAATTTCTGCATTTTAGAGTAAAGGAGAAAACAAGAAACTCCCATCCTTGACTTCTCCCCAGCTCTGATCTTGCACTGGAAGTACCCACAGGGTAGAAGGGGTTGCAAAAACTACAGACCTTCTGAAAAGAACATGCATGGGTTGGACAATTCTTCATCAAATATCTTGAACCACAGCACTCTAATTTTAGAATCAGACCTTCTCAAGCTTCCTTTATGACAGCTATTCTGGCCCTGTAATCACATCATTGGTGGCTAAACATCTTGAACAAGGACAGAATTTGAAACACACAATATGATTAAAACCTACATTATCACTGATGTAATATCCCAGAACCTATTACTGTACTTGGGCAGGAGGAAAGAATCTAATTAAACATTTATTTAATATTAAAATACAAACCAAAATATCAATGTTGGACAGTAATGCAACAATATGTCAACTGGCAAATATGTATTTTTCCACCAAGAAAAATTTGTTTATGTTCACAAATACATGAAATGTACAGGAACAGAACACTGGCATGAAACCCAACCTGGCACAGGGAACCAGTAACTTCAGGTGAGGAGTTCCAGTCCTGGAGTGTCAGCTGGAGTTGAGTTGTTCACTGGGAGGCAGGAGGCTGCTGCAGGTGAATCCTGGTACTCACAGTATCAAAACACCCCTCACTGTGACTGCTGGGAGGCATCAGATCCATCCGAGCAGGATTTTCCTGCCCCAGCCAGCCAAAGTGCAAGTATTGCTCACAGTTCTGTGCCAATGAGAAACATCAATGTGAAAGGTTTAAATTAAAAGGATTTGCCACAGAACAGTGGTTGTCTTTAACACAGGTAACTCATGTTGCTTTTTTATTGAAGTCCAAAATCTCCTCTTGGCTAATATTTACATCACACCATAAATATTTATAAAATGGTGGAGGAAAACCAAGTGCAAAAGGGTAACACTACTATTTTTTCTGAAAACAAGCTGCCTTTTAGTTTCTTATTATAAACTGAATATCACTATTTAAAAATAATTGATATTTCTAAAAATAGTACAATACAGGATAAACATTGATTTCTCAGGTGTAACAAAATACGTTTAAAATAGAGGTGGCTTTTTGAAGTACAAAATATTGCTGTTTGTAAAGGGTAACACGGTTGCAAAACTATTTTTCAGGGTTTATAAAAATACAAAACAATTTGCATTTACTGAGTGCATCATTATATATTAGTGCAAAAAAAAAGAAGTATATTTGCAGTCAAGAGAGAACTGTCAAAGATTTGCAGAGGTTCTTAAAACATGAAATCTTTTCAGAGTCATTCTTATTAACCCCAAATCTCTGTTAATTCTTTCCAAACGATCTTCCAGGGCTTCCTAAAAGGATGAGGTAAAAGAAAGAACAAAAAGCATTAATAATATATCATGAAATCCAATGATCCTTCTAAAATTAGGGAACTGCTATCCTTCCTATATTCCTGGTCTCTTTTTTTAGGCCTTAGGTGCCTTGTTATCACCCAAAAACCAGAGCCAGACCTATAAACTTGTGATGTTATTTTTATGTATTTGTTGGCTTTTTTAGCATGTGACTTACAAAACTCCATGAGAGAAACCTGACAAGAATGAGGACAGGCTGACAATTAGGAATATTAGGCATATTTAGGAAACAGTTGATCACTGTGGTGAGTGGCAGTATTGATTTACTGGAATGCATTTTTAATTTCAAATTGATAAATTGATAACACACTCTGGGATTACAATTTAGGAAATGCTGAAGTTGAAGGCTTTGCAGAGACCTCTAAAAGACAATTTTGAGACTTGTTTTTATTAGAAGAGTCTCAGTTTCCCACAGAAAGCACTTCCTGTATTCCACTTAAACCAGATTTTTGCCTTCTTACTTTCTTCTTTGTACTTTCAAGGAGACAATACCCAACCAAACAAAAACTAAACTTTTTAATTCCTCCTTCAGCACAACATCCTCTCTGCAGCTTCAGGGATCTATTTCATAGTCACTGCATTTTGTTAATGCATTGCCTTTATTTCCCTCTCAGTTTTTAGCACAAGAACAGACTAGTCTTACAGTAATTTGGCAAAATGCATCCCATGTACAAAAAATAGAAGATATTAAACAATATAAAAACCCATATAAAAATTCCCCACAGTAATCACACTTACTACCCAGAGGATCTTTCCTCTACATTATGTATTCTCAATTGTGGAAGAACAAAAGAGAACAGTAATACCAAGAAGCTTTTTCACCTGATTTAGTCTTGCTTGCAAGGTCATTCTTCCACCAGAACAAGGGATTCGGCTCAGTGCAGCCTCAATCTAATAACAGAAAACACTTCAGCTGTAAATTAGTTTCAAGAGCCAATAAGAGCCTTCCTAACTCCTCTTAGAGAAGGAGAGGTGAGGTGTATGGATTACAGATACATGGAGAGTTTTGTTCTTTAACACCATAATACTGTGCCAACCCCCATCCACACTGTGTTTGTTACAGTGACTCTCCTTGAATAAATTTAGGGACAGGGAAGGACTGCAAGTGGAGCAGGGAAGGATAATGGCACATTCCTGATGTGACACTGAAGCTGTGGGTGAATTTCAGCCAGTTATTCCATGGATAAATGGCTCCATCCCTCACCTCTCACAGAACAATTATGATTTCTCACAACTTGGAAACAAAAATAATCTTTGCCTGTTGCTTTTCATGAGTCAGCTCATCAAACAGCCTCTCTGTTTCAGCCAGAGTTGTAATCCTTGATGAGTACTTGAAGTCTTCCTCACAAGGTGATTGCACTGCCTCACGTCTCTGGCTCCTCTCCTCCCAAGCTGCTGCTTTCTTCATTCCATTGCTGACAGATTCAGTACAGGAGCTGTGTCTGACACCTGAATGCTTCCTTCCTATCAACAGAACAGGGGTCTTTTTATTTGTTTTGTAATTATCTGGGAAATTGTTACAAAGGACAGAAAAATAAACTAATGACAGCACAAGCAGTGTGGTTTTGGCAGTGCATGAACTGAGGAGAGGGACAAGCAAAGCCTCAGTCCTTGACTTAAACAGCTTCCCAAAGGAATGCAAAACATTTGTATTGGTCATCTTTCAAGGGATCTTTAAAACACAGCATATTTTTTTGTTAACAACCAGTTTCCTTTTTTTGACTAATTAGGAATTACTTTTACTGGTACATTTCTAAATAACACCAAGCTGACTGGCTGTCATGCAAACACCAGTCTAAACAAGAGCATGGATAAAACCAAAAAGCA